CACATGATAAATATACTGAATTGAATTAAAACTTAATCACACGAGAAAAATGATCAAAACTGAAACTGCATGCCTCGGCCCACGGCAACCCCCGAGGCTACGCGCGATAGGCGTGGGGTGTCGGCTGGGGCCTTTCCTCGGCAAAACTCCGTTTTTCCCCGACAACTTGCGAATAACTGAACATGATCAACTAATTTAAGTCCAAATAAACATAACAGGTCACGACTTATGCGCGGAATACGAACTCATGCCTCATGGCCGTCCGTAGCCGCGTGCGATCGGCACAAGCTACGGGTTTGGCCAATTCATCGGCAATCCTCGACATTTCATCGACCGACCTCACTTAATATCACAGAACACTTTAAATAGAAGCTAAAAAGAACTAAACTGTTCATAACTTGCCGGAAGAAAATAGAATTTGTCCGGCAATTACTACACTTAAGCATGTTCGGATTTAAGTGTGGTCTTACTCAAAATTCTTGCAATTTTGTCCGAACACTTTGCTATTAATTAACCTGATTATCAAGTTAATGGACTGATGGGAGGTTTACCTTCCTGATCGTTCGATGGAAATCGAAAATTGAGGCGTAGCTTCTCCTCGCGTGAACGCCGTGCGGTAGGCTTCGGTTTGCCGTGCGTTGGGCTGAGTTTTTGGGAAAAATTGTATGAACTATTTGCTGAGGAAAAGAACAAGGGATGCTGAAGGTGATGATCAACTTCTATGGGGAAAATGGGCAAAAATCGACCAAGTAATGGTCTTATATAGATGGCCGTGCATGAAGGGGGTGACGAGGGCAATATGTGGCCTCTTTGGCTTCTTTACACTTGCCAAAATTTTATGCATCATCTATTGACTAAGCATGTTGTTTAATTGACAAGTTACAAGATCTTATTGGTTAAAAAAAAACAACTCCTTAAGCACAAAGAAGGCTCACGGTTTTTACTTGTAATTTTGGGAAAAATAAGACTAATTCTTACGGCATTTTTAGGGTTAAAGCTAATCATTGTGA